AATATGTGTTATGCAAATCAATAGCATGCTTTGAATGAAATAGGCATGAGTTCTATTATTTGGAACTAAATGATGAAACGCCTTCTAAGTAGCAACCAAGCAAAGAATAATGAGATCATGCAACGACTTTAGAAAACAATGATGCACAGATTATTAACTCTCCAAATAAACGTTTAGGCTCAAGTCTCACAAGGTTGTAGTGTTCATTTGAGTTCATTCAAAGCATGTTACAAAAATGAATTTTTCCTTTATAATTGCATGTGAATTCATAAATTATAACCACAACCAAGCATACACCAAAGAGTAAATCAAATTTTCATCCATGTTTATAACTCTCTTTAACAATCATAATTAAAAACCAAATCCTCATCATTGTGTTGGAAGGTACCCTAAGACACAAATAAACACACAAAAACAACTCTTTTTGGGTTTTTTAAAACAATTTTTCAAATTTTTATGAGATTTTCGGATTTTTATGTCAAAACACACTAAAACACTCAAAAACAGTTTAAAAACACTTAAAAACAGTAAGGAACAACACTAGAAGTAATGGGTGATAAACTCCTACGAATTTTATGCAAAACAACTTGGTTACCCCCCCAACACTTAAATCAAACATTGTCCTCAATGTTTCAAGCACAAACTCACACAAAAACAAGCAAACAAACAAACAACGAATAAACATGACAAGTATAGCAAAGTAAAAACCAGACAGAGTAGAGTTTAAGAACGCAAATCTGGTTTTGGAGATGGATGATCTTGTTGACGGTGCATACGGCCTTTGATAGAATCCCGGAGGTTGCTGTCTGAATGCACTTTGTTGTTGGGTTTGTTGAGGCTCCCTCCATTTGAAATTTGGATGATCTCTCCAACCTGGATTGTATGTATTCGAGAACGGATCATTTCTTGGTTGGTTTTGACTCCCAAAACCCACAGCGTTGGCAGATTCCCACCTTCCGTTCTCGATCAATTGAAGGCACTTATCCGTGAGATGTCCATTCATTGAGCACACGCCACAAGCAGCTACACTTTGTTCTTTTGGTTTTTCAACCACCTGTGAAAGAAAAGTAGTAAGATTAGCCATTTGATTTTGAAGTTCAAAAACAGCACTTACCTCATTAACTTGTTGCTGTCGTGGGTTGTCTCTTTGACCAACGCCTTCATATTGTTAAGCATTCAATGCTTGGTTAGCAATTAAGGTCTTGGCAGCCATGGGTGTTTTGTCCACCAAAGCTCCTCCCGCTGAGGCGTCTAGCATTTGGCGTTCAATTGGTAGAAGCCCTTCGTAGAAATATTGAAGAAGAAGCTCCTTCTTCATCTGGTGCTGTGGACATGAAGCAACAAGGGTTTTAAAATGCTCATAGTAAGTGGGAAAAAATTCACCTTGGTTTTGCTGAATGCGACTAATCCTTTTGCATAGTAGAATGACTCGAGAGTTGGAAAAAACTTCTCCAAAAATGCCCGTTTCATACTCTCCCATGATGTGACAGTTCTGGGGGCTAGCTCATACAACCAATCTTTAGCCTTTTCCAAGAGAGAAAAGGGAAAAGCCTTCATTTTCAGAATGCTCCCATCAACATTCACAGGGGTCATGCTCGAACAAACAACCTCGAACTCCTTCAAATGTTTATTAAGATCTTCCATGGACAACCCATGGAACTTAGGAATATGGTGCAATAAACTGGACTTTAATTCGAACTCGTCGGTCTTGTTTTGGGCCACTCTTGGATATTGAATGCATAAAGGCAGAGCATTGTCCAATCCCGAAGCGGAAAACTCCTTGATTGTTTGATTGTCTACTGCCATATCTTGGGACTTCTTCAAAAGTCCTTGTCGTGGCCTCCTCTTGCTCTTCTACTTTGTCTTCTTCAAGATCTGGTGCAGGTTAAGATGATTGGGGTTCTTGTTGATTCCTTGCTCGTCTCAAAGTTCGTTCAAAATCGTCGTCAAAGTCAAAGATGTGCTTATGAACAGGTTGAGAACTTCGAGTCATAAACCACCAAAAACAAGAAAACAACTAAAATCAGCAACTAGGAACAAAAACACATGAAAATAAACAAAAAGAAATAATAAGGGATTAGCAAAGTTGCTAATCCCCGGCAACGACGCCAAAAACTTGATGCGAAAATTATCTTAACACACAAATTTAACCCTTTTTTTTATAATTGTAGTACAAGTATAAGTAGGGATCGTTCTGGACCGGGGATTAGGAGGGCTTGCTAATAACCTCTAAACTGACTCAAAAACATAAAACTAAATTTAAAAACACTTAACATGACCCACAAAACTCAAGGCAAACTTAAAATACTCAAAACAGCTTAAAACAACCAAATAAACTTAAACTAGACACTAGGAATGACTTTGGACGAAAATTGGCTTTCACTTGAATCAAAACACTTAAAAACACAAACTAAAACAGATTTGAAACACTTTGAAACAAGAAATTAAAAAGGGGGTTTTGATTTGGATGAAGTTGGAACAAATAAACAAGTATGAAAAACTAGACAGATTGTAAGACAAATTTGAGAAATAAGATGATGGATGGGATAGCTAGAGGCTTTTTCTCCACACATGACATGTATGCAAATAACTTGATTTCCAGTTACTACTTCATTGAATTATGAACGACAATGCTCCAAATTAATCGTGACATCACTAGTTAACTTTCATATTTCCTTGTTTTATTGGATTGGATGAAATCATTCGACAATCCAAAACATTCTTCAAAAGTTCCCTACATGACATCATAATAGAGATACAATCAAAGATCATTACGTTTAATGAAAATCATAAGCATTGACAAAGCACTTGCAACTATGACATCATGTCGCTTATGCTAGGAATTGAACTTAACGTGATCGTTTATAAGTGACCTTCACTACATGTGAATATAAGTTTGTAACGATTATGTGAAACTTCCTTATATTCTAGCAACGGATTTATGCATGCCAATTAAGTGTCGACCCTTAATTAACAAATACAAATAAGTTATCAATCAAATAGTTAAGTCAATTGCATTCACGATTCAAGAGTTCATAACTAGAATTTATCAAATTTTATTGCACACATAATCATGGCTTTGAAATCACCCCTAGCCAAGAGGGGTTTAGCCACTCATATTTACAACAAAACGAAAGGAAATGAATTTAAACATTAGAAACAAAAGAAAGAAAACACCTAAACGCTCTAACGATCCAAGTTGGACAGCAAGCACGTCCAAGCACTTTCCTTCCCTTCCTTTGCTACGGCACAAGGTATTGTTGAGTGTTTGAAGGTTTGTTTGTATGGAGGAATGGATGTGAAGATGAATGGATGTGAAGATGAATGGATGTGTTTGGATGAAGGTTGTGTTGAAATGGGAGTGAATGATCTAACAAAGTATGAACTAAATTTATGTTACACACACTTCCTTTTATAGAGGAAATGCATGGCAATGGAGGGGAACATGGAGTGGTGTAGCAATTGAGTGCAATGATGCATGAAATCTAAAATGATAGAGGGAACAAGGAATGGTGTAGCAATTGAGTGCAATGATTCAATGTAATGATGCATGAAATCTGAAATGATGGAGGGAACAAGGAATGGTGTAGCAATTGAGTGCAATGAGTGATGTTTGAAATGATTCAAAGATGAAAGTGAAGTGATGATGCAAATGATGGGGGTAAAATGGAGTGGTGTTGCAACTAGGGAACATGAATGATTGTGCACATGGTAGAGAAAGGAAAGGGAGGTGGAATGATGCAACAAATGAGTTAATGGAGGGAACATGGATGATGATGCATGGCATAAGAATCCAAAGGGAGTGCAATGGTGGTGCACGGCAATGATGGAAAAGTGAATAGTGGAGTGACACCCCTTTGTGGCTGAGCTCTTTGTTCTTTTTACATTAATTCTTCTTTCTCTTTAACAAATTCCTAGCCTCTTTAGTCTTCAATTTCGTCCATCCACCTTGCTCCATACATGTGCTATTTATTCCAAGCCCAAAACTGCTCCAAAATGCATCTTATTGCTTCATAAGGCCTATGGACCTACAAACACACGAAAATAGCTTAACATACATAATTAACTAAGAAATAACAACATAAATGCATGAGAACAAGCTAACTCAGTCGCATAAATATGCTCCTATCAACGACGTTGGTTCAAACCCCACTAATGGCTAATCTAACATCTAATTGATAAAATATATAGTTTAACAAATGTACGTGGAAGGTTTGAAGGACGTGTGAATAGTAGGGATGGCAACGGTTCGGTTTGGGGACAGAAATGCTAAGTTCATCCCCATAATCACGAAAATTAACCATATCTATAATCGCAAATTAACCATCAGGTATTATCCATAACCATACCTACTGAATAACGGATTCCCCATCGGTTAACGGGTATATCCATCTTCGTCAATACAAAAAATATATTCGTTCAATTAAGACATTATAAGTTAATAGATATTAATTTCGTCATTAAACATTTGATGTATAAAATGATCCAATGAATGGATCTTGTTGAGTATAAAAATTAAAACATTGATGATGTTGGCTTGTCTTTCATATCTCACATAAGAATCATTGAGTTCAAATTGATTTGGATTCAAAACTTTACTTTCCTACGAAATGCAACTTTTGTATTCTCAAGGTAATGGTTCGGTGAATAATGGATATACAAATACATACATATATATATATATAGATATATTATACTATTATATTATATATAAATTATATTATTTACTAATCGGGTCAGATTCGGTTATGGATATAGTTTGGAGATCTCTATAACCATATCCAAAATCATAACCGAATAATATATAAAAGGTTTTTCCCCATATCGAGAATATACCCAAACTTCCATACCCAAATCCATTCCATTCCATTCGGACGGTTATCCACGGTTATCGGATTTAAAGTTATAATTGTCATCCTAGTGAGTAGCAGTGCCCCGGATAAATTGTGTTTAAGTTGGACAGGTGGCATGAGTTATTGTGCAATGTCGTCTTGTTAGACAGGATTTCTCCTTTTGACTCCCTCATTTGCAGTTTATACCTCTCTCAGCCCATCAATTGCCGGAAGAGCTGCTCTGGAGTTTGAGCTTGAGCATCTGAAAGAAAAATGACGGGCGGTTTAAGAGTCCTAAGTCGGTCACTGAAACATTACAAACCCACAACCTCTATATTTCCAGAGAATTCACTCTCTCCTCAATCCAACCAATGGATTTACCAAACTCGCCGGACTCTGATTTTAGAATCAGCACCGTCACGCTCCGTCACCCTCCACCGACTCCCTGACTCCGATTCCGGTAAGTTTTCGTTCTGAAATACGTATAAAAAAAAAGTGGGTTATCTCTGTTTATGCCAATTTTCTATGACCCAGAAAGCATTAACCGAATTGGGTTTTGTTTGTTTGATAACAGGGATTGTTGAGGTTAGGTTGGAGAGGCCGGAGGTGAGAAATGCAATTGGGAAAGATATGCTGAGAGGTTTACAGAACACCTTTGAAGCTGTCAGTGAGGATTCTTCTGCTAATGTTTTGCTGATCCGCAGCAAAGTTCCCAAGGTGTTCTGTGCTGGAGCAGATTTAAAGGTAGGAATTTTAATTTATTCGTGGAATCGATGTTTTGTTTTGGAAGGAGTTTACAGTGGATTAGCAAAGAATTCTTCAAATTTATATTCACTTTGATTTGCTTGAATGAATTATTTGCATTGAAGAGTTGTGATATGTACAGGAGAAGATAGTGCTCACTAGTCAAATTGTTCTTGCCTCTTAATTTGATTGGCAGGAACGGAAAATGATGAGTGCATCTGAAGTTCGAGATTTTGTCAACACACTGCGTGCCACGTTCTCATTTTTAGAGGTTAATCTTCGTTGTTAACCTTTTTGTTTTTCTATAATTGTTTTGTTATTAAAATGGCCTGAAAGATGATCAAAATTCAGTAGTTGGTTTTGACACTCGGTGATTTTTAGAGGTTAATCTTCATTGCCACAAGTGTTTCAGATTCTGAACAACAACACTTTTATAATGCTTTTTTGTTGTATGGTACATAGTTTAACAGTGGGTATGGATATGTATATGCAAGTGTTCTATAACGATGGATATTGGATGCATATACGTGAGTGTTGTATAATGGTGGACATATGATATCAATATGTAAACGAGCAGACACTCATACATAAACGTGAGTGTCCAGGATATGTTCAGAATTATATTTACTAATTTGATTTCATAACGCTGTTTTTAATTAGCGTGGTATGATCATTTAATGCTTGAATGCAGGCTTCCTTGTTTACTGTTTATACATTAGTACTCCATAAATTATTTTCTTCTTCTTGACACTTACTTCTGTTCATAATATTTAGGTACTTTCTATTCCAACAATTGCTGTCATTGAAGGAGCAGCATTGGGTGGTGGACTTGAAATGGCTTTATCATGCGATCTTCGGATATGTGGTAATTCCATTTCTTTAATTATTTATACCGAATCCAGTTATGGTCATTAAACTATCAATCCTTTTAAACTTTATAATGCCTAGTCTCTTAATGTTTTCCACCATTAATGACTTAGAAGAAGATGCAGTGATGGGCTTGCCAGAAACAGGACTTGCTATCATTCCTGGGTAGGTGCTGAATTTCAGAATGAGTTCACATTATCACCTGTGACGTTCTCCCCAAGAATTGCATATCACCTGCATCTTGTTTGACGAACCCAACATTCTGTACTGTTTCAACTTTTTCTAAGCAGGTTTAATAGCATACCATTTCTTATAACATAAGAGATGGGTGGGATTTTAATTCCCATTCCAACTGATATTTAGTTTATGGAATTGTGTCGTCCATATTGTCTACATTTCTGGAAGAACTTCTTTCCGCATGATTACTTCTTATTTTACTCTCTTCTTTTATTTATTTTGCTTTATCTACATTTTTCTGAAATTATTCATCCAGTGACAGATCAACTCTCTTGATTGCATCCATTGACAGGGCAGGTGGAACACAGCGGCTTCCTAGATTGGTTGGAAAAGCAATATCAAAGGAACTCATATTCACTGGTAGGAAGATTGGCGGCAGGGAAGCAGTGTCGATAGGTATGTGATGTATGTCTACTCAGTAGCTGCTTTGTTTTTGTCCTTTTTTTTTTCTTTTGATGCAAATTATACTTTGCAACAGGTTTGGTAAATTACTGTGTTCCTGCTGGTGAAGCTCATCTAAAGGCACTTGAAGTTGCTCGCAATATAAATGAGAAGGTACAGAATTATTTTATCCACTATTGCGTTCATTTTATACTATTTCATGGGGAATGTTATAGTTGAGAGTATTCTATGAACTGAATTTTCGCCTTCCGATGATAACTACATTCTAACATCTGAATCAAGGTGGATGTCTGTAGCTGAAACTTCTCTATACATAAAATTTGCTGTAATGACAATGTTTAATACATGCACTGAAAAGGGGAAAAAAGACAGTACACTAAAGCATAACTTGAAATCGTCATACTAGGCAAAGAACAAAAAAGTTACAAGTAATTGTTGCAATCAAACTTATGAAATACAGTGTTAGCAGGGTCCAATAGCAATAAGGATGGCAAAAAAAGCTATTGATGAGGGACTGGAGGTAGATAAGACCTCAGCTTTGGCTCTTGAAGAACATTGCTATGAAAAGACGTTGAACACAAATGATCGCTTGGAAGCCCTATCAGCATTTGCTGAGAAGCGAAAGCCAAAGTACACTGGAGATTAAGATGATAAACTTGCTATAATTTGTCTGGATAAGTTTCTTGGTTGGGCAGAAATAAACTTGTCAGCAATGACAAAATGACAGGTCAGTAGAGGTCTTAATTTTATTTGATCATAAGTTACTATTTAATGAATAGCTGATTAAATGTTTTGTTTGGGTGTCCGTGGATTGAATGTGTTCCTTAGTGAATCAAATAATTGTACTCCTCAATATTGTTTCTTTTTACACTAACAATCAAATGGTCTTCCTCAAACTCGAAAAAAATGGACCTTGCATGTGCTTTTAAGTAGTTATGCCACTCTCCATAATCCATATTGCCAGTTAATTTTATGACGGAACCTCAACTTTCTTCAATGAGTTTAGTATAGATTCTTCTAACGGTGGCAAAAAGGGAGTGATTCGAGGGAAATTCTGCAACTGTAAGAACCATGTTTGTGTTTTGTATCATCTTTAGAACCAAACATGCTGAACTTGTTGAACTCATGTATGCTATTAGAAATGATCATACAAGACAAAAGGATGGTCCTAAAGATGATACAAAACACAAACATGGTTCTTATAGTGATCAGCTTGTAATGGACGTATTGTCATATGAAATGTGATCAGCTTGACAATGCTTATGAAAAAACACTTATCAAATGTTTCGTCACTAATACAAAATGTGATTATAGCATTGTTGTTACAAGAATACAAAAATTTCACGTCGAAATTTTGACCAAGTAAATTGTTGTAATACTAGCCGGCACTCCATGATCACGTCAAATCCTTATGAAAATGAATCCAGAACAAAATCGCGCTAAAGCTAGGGCGTCACCCGTAAGTGGCGCGCTGTGTGGCCCGAGCACAGTGATAAATGAGCAAGGGTCGCTGTATCTCCATCGGCACCCGGATGCAGTGTTAAATGAGCAAGGGGGCCATAGAAACTTCTTTTCGAACGACTCCACTCAAAGTTGTTTGGGAGCATATGCTCCTATCAACTTTACACGGGACACACAAAAGAAGTACTTTGATCCTATTAGACGGGGGAGGGTGAAGAAGCTAGGACAGAAGGGTAGAGTTCAAGAGAGCAAAATGCGTTTAGGAACGTGGAATATAGGAACCTTAACGGGAAAATCTATGGAAGTAGTGGAAGTTATGGTGAGGAGAAGGATAAATATTATGTGCCTACAAGAAACTAAGTGGGTTGGTAGTAAGGCAAAGGATCTAGAAAACTCAGGGTTTAAACTTTTGGTATTCGGGCACAAATAGAACGAGAAACGGTGTTGGCATCATCGTGGACAAGACATTGACACAAGATGTTGTAGATGTCAAGAGGGTAGGAGATAGAATCATGGCAATCAAGATTGTAATAGGACAAGAACTTATCAATGTGATTAGTGCGTACGCACCTCAAGTAGGGTTGGATGCGAGTTCGAAGGAGAAATTTTGGGAAGACCTTGGAGACTTGGTGCAAGGAATTGCTCAGACGGAGAAGTTATTTATAGGAGGAGATTTAAATGGACACGTGGGCAGGGAGACAGGCAACTATGGAGGTTTCCATGGTGGCCATGGTTTTGGGGAGAGAAACGAGGATGGGGAAGCTATCTTGGATTTTGCAATGGCATATGATCTCTTCTTAGCCAACACCTTCTTTAAGAAGAGAGAAGAACATGTGATCACCTACAAGAGTGGGTCGTCAAAAACACAAATAGATTTTCTCCTAATGAGGAAAGGGGATCGTATAACTTGTAAGGATTGCAAAGTTATACCAGGAGAGAGCGTGGCTAATCAACATCGCTTGTTGGTGATGGATGTACATATCAAAAGAGTGAGACAAAAGAACAAGACTTGGAAGTGCCCAAGGACTAGATGGTGGAATCTAAAAGAAGAAAAACAAGCCATTTTCAAAGAGAAAGTAATCACCCAGTGTGTGTGTGGGATAGAGAGAGGGAAGCTAGCCAAATGTGGGATTCCATGGCTAGTTGTATTCCGAAAAGTAGCAAAAGAGGTATTAGGAGAGTCCAAGGGCTTTTGCCCCACACCAAAAGGAATCTTGGTGGTGGAATGAGGAGGTACAAACAAAGGTGAAGGCTAAGAAGGAATGTTGTAAAGCCTTATACAAGGATAGGACCGATGAAAATGGTGAAAGGTATAGAAAAGCGAAGCAAGAAGGCGAAGAAAGCTGTGGAGAGAAGCTAAGTTAGCGGCTTATGACGATATGTATAAACGCGACTAGATACCAAAGAAGGAGAGTTGGATATCTATAAATTAGCTAGAGCAAGGGAAAAGAAGACAAATGACCTAAAACCAAGTGAGGTGCATCAAGGATGAGGATGGAAAGGTTCTTGCTACAGAGAACGCGGTTAAAGACAGATGGAAAGGTTATTTTCATAATCTTTTCAATGAAAGGACATGAAAGGAGTGCTTCTTTAGGGGAGTTGAGTAACTCAGAAGAGTGTAGAAACTACTCTTTTTATCGTAGAATCCGGAAGGAAGAAGTGGTTGTAGCTTTGAAGAAGATGAAGCATAGAAAAGCAATAGGCCCAGACGATATACCAATCGAAGTTTTCAATAGGATGACCTTTTGGAAAAAACGAAGAAGATGCCAAATGAGTGGCGAACGAGCACTTTGGTGCCTATCTACAAGAATAAGGGCGACGTACAAAATTGCATGAACTATAGGGGTATTAAGCTAATGAGTCATACAATGAAGCTCTGGGAGAGAGTCATTGAGCATAGATTGAGGCAAGAGACACGGGTTTCGGACAACCAATTCGGGTTCATGCCAGGGCGCTCAACCATGGAGGCAATCTATCTCTTACGAAGATTGATGGAAAGATATAGAGATGGGAAAAAGGATTTACACATGGTCTTTATAGATTTGGAAAAAGCGTATGATAGGGTCCCAAGAGACATTCTTTGGAGGATTTTAGAGAAGAAAGGAGTACGAGTAGCATATATCCAAGCTATAAAGGATATGTATGAAGGAGCAAAGACTGCCGTAGAACTCATGAAGGACAAACCGAAAGCTTTCCCATAACTGTAGGATTACATCAAGGCTCATCCTTAAGTCCTTACCTTTTTGCGTTGGTAATGGATGAGTTAACAGGACATATTCAAGATGATATTCCTTGGTGTATGCTTTTCGCAGACGATATAGTGTTGATAGATGAAACTCAGTAAATGCAAAGCTTAACCTTTGGAAGAGAAGTGCTAAAGGTCTAACGCCTTTGGAGTGCAAAGTGCAGTAAATGGAGGCCAAAACGAGTTAGGGGTGAGGATCGGAGATCAAGAAATACCAAAGAGCGACCGTTTTCGTTACCTAGGATCTATCTTGCAAAAGAACGGAGAATTAGATGGAGATCTCAACCATAGAATACAAGCTGGATGGATGAAGTGGAAGAGTGCATCCGGCGTGTTGTGTGACCGCCGTATGCCACTGAAGCTCAAGGGAAAATTTTATAGGACGGTAATAAGGCCAGGCGATGCTGTATATGGCACAGAATGTTGGGCGGTGAAGCATCAACACATACACAAAATGGGTGTAGCGGAGATGAGGATGCTTCGTTGGATGTGTGGGCACACGAGAAAGGATAAGATTAAGAATGAGGATATCCAGGGTAAAGTAGGAGTAGCCGAAATTGAAGGCAAAGATGAGAGAAAATCGGTTACGGTGGTTTGGACATGTGCAACGAAGGCCTACTGACGCTCCGATTAGAAGATGCGACTATGGGACAGAGGTTCAGGGCCGAAGGGGTAGAGGAAGACCTAGGAAAACTTTGGAAGAGACTCTAAGAAAAGACTTAGAGTACTTGGATCTAACGAAGGACATGACACAGGACCGAGCACAATGGCGTTCTAAGATTCATATAGCCGATCCCACTCAGTGACCGATCCCACTCAGTGACTTGGATTTTCCAAGTCTCCAACTCCTCGGAAATTAAGGGAACACTACCCCAACCTACATGCTCCACTCAGAAAGCTTCAACATACAAGCTTCAACAAAAGAAAATTCAAAGAACTTAGCGAAGAAGGTTTTGGTGTAATTTAACACAAATACGTTGAAATGAAGGAAAACTTATTTATTGATATCCCCGATAAACTACAAATATGTACATATACATGAGTCAAAAAACAAACAAGAGGGAGCCTTCACAAGGGTTGCTTAGGAGAAGTCTCAGCAGTCGGTAGAGCCCCAGAAAGAAAAGGCACCGGAGGGGGATCTTTCGGAGCCTCAGTACTGGACAGAACCCTAGAAGGAGGAGGCATCAGAGGTTGATCATTTGGAGCTTCATTAGGCGGTACAGCCCCAGAAGACGAAGGCAATAAATGCCTTTGGAACAAACCCACAAATCTCTGATGATCAAGTAAAACCTGACCATCAGTTTCCTTCATTTGGTCAAGCTTCCTCTTCATGTTTGTAGCATAGTCATGTGCGAGCCGGTGCAACTGTTTATTCTCATGCTTGAGCCCTCTCCTGTTTGAGACTTATCAACTCAGCCGCCAATGATTCAACTTGGCGGGTTCGAGCAAATAGGCGTTGGGCCATATTAGACACAGAACCTGCACACTGAACACTGAGAGCCAGCGAATCCTTAACAGCTAACTCATCAGACCGTTTGGAAAGTAGTCTGTTATCTCTTTGGGCGTGAGAAGGTTCCTGGCCACCACCGCAACAGTCATATCATTCTTCATCACGGAATCCCCAACGGTAAGTAGGGACCAAGGATGGGCGTCTGGAGAAGGCGGGGCTGCCTCTTCAACAAGGTTCAAGTCAAAACGACGGTCGGAGGGGCCAGACATTTTCAAAGGTGTTGAAGAGAGAAGAGGTTGGACAAATCAAGATCTTAGAAGGGCAAGAATGGAGCTTCTACTGGTGGAGATTCAAGTGTGCTTCGGAACTTAATGCCAGCCCCTATAAAAAATCTGCACTCGACGGAGCTTCAGAAATCGAAGAGGCACCTGCTCAGAAATCGAAGAGGCGTTTGCTTTCTCAAAAGCTGGGCTGCTTAGAGACCACGAAGGTTGATCTCAGAAATCGAAGAGGCGTTTGCTTTCTCAAAAGTTAGGTTGCTCAAAGACCACGAAGGCCAATCTCAGAAATCGAAGAGGCGCTCGCTTTCTCAAAAGCTGGGCTCCTCAGAGACCACGAAGGCCGATCTCAGAAATCGAAGAGGCACCTACTTTTCCAGCCTTGTCAGCACCTGTCACACGCACACTCAGCTTTGCGGAAATTATGGGCATTCTGTCGA